CTCAGGTGTGGTTACTGTGTCTCTCCCACCACCAAGATACCCATAGTCCTTCTTCATAGTCCATTATGTTCTCCCTCCTCAACCTCCTTCCCATCCATTCCTCTTTGTCGCCTCCTCTCCTCCTTATGCCTCATATCTGTATATGAGCTCAATCCTTGAGCTTTCAAGGATTTGGTATAAAGACTTACTTATTTATGCATACAAGAACTAGGGTACAGGTCAGAGGTTCAGGGGGGTGAGAGGATTCACCAGAGACAGAATTGGGAGCAAAACAGGCAGATCGATGGAGTACACTGCTGAGGGGAGCAGGCAGGTAAGGAGAGGTCTGCTGCACCATGTGGATCCCCTCCCTGGCTAGAGATCAAACTTGCAACTGAGGCAGATTCGGCCAGCTTGCAGTGCTGCTTCCTAACCTGTTGTGCCCAAGGGAGGGCCTCAAGGATTGGTGTTAGTTTGTCTTAGTTTGTCCATATCTTTGGCTTTCTTTATTCCACCTATAAGGGAGACCATTTTATTTATCTTCTCCTCTGGTTTGCTTCATCCAGCTCTACCTATGTTGCTGCACATAGCATGAGTTTATTTTGATCACTGTGTGGTATTCCATTGTGTATATATACCACATCTTCTTGATCTACTCATCTGTTTTGGATCACTTAAGTTATCTCCATCCTTGGCTATTATAAACAATGCTGCTATAAATATGGGAGTTTAGATTTCTTTTTGAATTGGTGTTTTTGTATTTTTGTGGTAGACACCTAGGAGCTGGATTGCTGGGTTATACAGAAGATCCACTTTTAGTCTTTTGAAAAAACCTCTACATTGCTTTCCATAGAGCCTAAACATTTTACAATCCCACAAACTGTGTAAGGATTCCTTTCCTCCACACTCTCACCAACATTTGTTGTTCCTGGCCCTTCTGATATGTATCATTCTCCCTGGTGTGAGGTGGTATCTCACCCTGGTTTTGATTTACATTTCCCTGATAGTAAGTGATGATGAACATTTCTTCATGTACCTGTTGATCATCTGTTTGTCTTCCTTGAAGAATTTCCTGCTTTAAGTCCTCTGTCCATTTTTTGATTGGGTTATTTATTTTCTTTCTCGAGTTTTCAGTGCTTTGTAGATATTCAGTACTAGTTTTTTGTTTGATGCATGGTGTGCAAATATTTTCTCCCACTCAGTGGGGTGTCTCTTCATTTTGGTTACATTCTCTTTCACTGTACGTATCTTTCAAGTTTGATGTAGCCACAGTTGTTTTTGTTTGCCATTGTTTTCCTTGCTGTTTGGAATGAATCCTCAAAGATATTTCTGAAGTTTATGTCATGAACTCTTTTTTTCTATGTATTTTATGGTTTTAGGTCTTACATCCATATATCTTATCCCCTGTGAGTTGAATTTTGTGTGTTGTGTGAAATAGTGGCCTGGTTTCATTCTTCTGCATGTGGCGTTTATGTTTTCCTGACTTGTATATTGTTCCAGTGTATATTCTCTGTTCCTTTGTCATCAACTAATTGTTAATATATGTGTAATTTTATTTCTGGGCTCTCAATTCAAATCCATTCGTCTATGTGCTTATTTTTGGTCCAGCACCATGCTGTTTTATTTATTATGGCTTTGTAGTATAGTTTGAGGTTAGGAAATATGATACCTCCACTCTCTTTGACTTTGTCAAAATTGCTTTTGATATTTGGGGTCTTTCGTGATTCCCATATTAATTTCAGTAACGTTTGTTCTACTTATTTAAAGTATGCCTTTGATAATTTTATCAGAATTGCATTGAATTTGTATATTGATTTGGGAATAATGGCTATTTGGCAATGCTGATTCTTCTAATCCATGAGTAGGGAATATTATTCCATTTCTTTGTGTCTTCTTAAATTTCTTTCAACAATTGTCTTATAGTTTTATTTGTGTAGCTCTTTTACTCCCTTGTTAGGTTAGTGTGTGCATTGTGTATATATAAATATATTGTGTATATATAAATATATATAATATGTGTGTGTGCATACATGTATAATTGTAAATGGGATAACTTTTTTCATTTCTTCTCCTTCTATCTCATTGTTGATAATAGGAAGGCAACTGATTTGTGTATGTTGACTTTTTACCCCACTACTTAGCTAAGCTGATTGTTTCAGTGGATTCTTGAGGGTTCTCTATGAATATTATCTTGCCATTTGCAAATAATGATAACTTTACTTCTTCTTTCCCAATTTGGATAACTTTTATGTCTTACTCTTATATCTTACACTTATCTAATTGCTCTACCTAGAACTTCCAATACTATGTTGAATAGCAATGGTGAGAATTGATATCCTTATCTTCTACTAGATATTAATGGAAAAGCTTTCAGTTCTTCACCATTGAAAATGATATTAGGTATGGGTTTGTTATAAGTGGCTTTTATTATGTTAAGGAATGTTCCATTTGTCCTCATTTTTGAGGATTCAGTCTTTTTTTTTTTAAAGATTTATTTATTTGTGCATACAGAACTGAGGTACAGGCCATAGGCTCAGGGGTGGTGAGAGGCTTCACCAGAGACAGATTGGGGAGCAGAACAGGCAGATCTATGAAGTACACTGCTGAGGGGAGCAATGGGCGGGTCAGGAGAGGTCTGCCATGCCATGTGGTCACCGCCGGGGGCAGGCAGGGTTCGAACTCATGCAGAAGTGGCTTTAGCTTCTTATTCTGTGCTTTAACGCGCTGTGCTTTAACCCATTACGCCACCAGGGAAGGCCGAGGATTGAATGTTATCAAAAGTTTTCTCAGAATCTATTGATATAATCATATGATTTTCACATTTCTTTTGTTAATGTGGTGAGGTATGTTGATTGATTTCAGATATTGAACCATTCTTGTGTTTCTTATATGAATCTCACCTACTATTGGCATATGATGCTTTTAAATCATGTTAGACTCATTTGCTAGGATTTTTTAAAGAATTTTTGCATCTGTTTACAGATTGGTCTGTAGCTTTATTTTTTGTCTTTGGCTCTGTTGGTAGAGTAATGTTGACCTCATAGAAAGTATTTTGAGGGCCCTCCTTGGTGGTGCAGTGAGTTAAAGCGCAGCACTGCAAGCAAGCCAGCTGCTTCAGCGTGAGCTCCATTTCCATCCCACTGGTGATCCACATAACGTGACAGACCTCTCCTGACCCACCCTCTACTCCCTTCAGCAGTGTATTTCATAGAATTCACTTGTGAAACCATCTGGTCTTGGACTCTTCTTCTTTGTTTTGGAAAATTTTGATTACTGTTTCAATCTCTTTACTTATGATTGGTTTTTTCAGGGTTTCTATTTCTTCACTATTCAGTCTCAGCCGATTGCATAATTCTAAGAATGTCTATCTTTTCTAGGTTATTAAATATGCTAGCATATAGATATCGATAGTAGTCTCTAATTATCTTGAATTTCTGTAGTATCTATTGTGATTTCTTTCAGTTTGATTCTGTTTATTTGGGATTTCTCCCTTATTTTCTTGGTGAGCCTTGCTAGAGATTTGTTGATTTTTAATGTTTGTTGATTTTTAATATTTTGTACTGTCTTTTTAATTTCTATTTACTTCAGCTCTGATTTTTATTATTACAAAATGTTCTTTTATTGGCTTTTGGATTTGTTTGTTCTTTTTCTATTTTCTCAAGTTGACAGAGAAAGTTAATTATTTGAACTCTTCTTGATGTGGGGCCTGTATTGTTATATATTTTCCACTTAGTTCTGCTCTTGCTCTGTCCCATAGGTTTTAGTTATGTGCTCACTTTATCTTGGGGTATTTTTTTAAAATTTATTTATTCATACAGAACTGGGGTACAGGTCAGAGATGCGGAGGGTGAGAGGATTCATCAGAGACAGAGTGGGGAGTAGAACAGGCAGATCGACAAAGTACACTGCTGAGGGGAGCAGCGGGCGGGTCAGGAGAGGTCTGCCTTGCCATGTGGATCACCTCCGGGGCAGGTGGGAATCGAACTCATTCGGAAGTGGTTTAAGCTTCTTTGTGCTGTGCTTTAACCCTCTGCGCCACCAGGGAGGGCTGTATCTTGGGGTATTTTTAAATTTCTTCTTTGATTTCCTCATTAACTCCATGATATTCTAGTAGTGTGTTGTTCAGTTTCCATGTATTAAAATATTCCCGTTTTCTTTTGATAGTTGCGTTCTTGTTTGATACCTTTATGTTCTGAGAGGATGCTAGGTATGATTTCAATTGTTGTGAAATTACTGATATTTGCTTTGTGTCCTAGAATGTGGTCTATTCTGGAGAATTTTCCATGTGTGCTTAAGAAAAATGTGTATTTGGTCTTCCCTGGTGGTGCAGCGGGTTAAAGCACAGCATTAAGAAGCTGAAGCCATTTCCACATGAGTTCGATCCCCGCCTGCCCCAGAGGTGACCACATGGCGTGGCAGACCCGTCCTGACCCGCCCGCTGCTCCCCTCAGCAGTGTACTTC